ACTTTATTACTTGAAACGAATGGTATACTTGCCGTAATCGCAACAAAAGGTATGAAGCCTATTGTAAAGTTGGATGGCCTTGATATGATATTGTGAGCATGATTGAAGAAATAATGTAATTGGATTAGGTAAGAAATGGAATTGGTAAAAGTGTTAAGTGTTGGTAACTTATAATGTAAGCACTCAATAAATATTAACTTGAGGACTAAGAATGGATCATAAAATGATGATTAAAGTTGGATGTAAGTTACCAAGGTTTGTTGGGTCTTTAGATGCAATTCTATGTTAATTAGGTACAAGATGAAGAAATGCAATTAATTGGGAAAACAAGGAGGTTTTGCCAATTATCTAGAAAATCTAGTAATTTTACCTCTAATTTTGAAAATTCATATCTCCCTCAATCCTTGGACAAATGGGACATGTGAGTTATCAAATTGAAGCTTAGGATGTCGCCTACATTGGCCTAAAATATGGAGAAATTCTGGTACTATATCAACCCCATATTTTGTTTGAGTGTGGACTGCCTGAAATCGCGGATTATGAGTTGGCTACTGCCCATTGTCTTTGAAATTCCATATTTCTTTCGTTTCTTGTCTAAACAAGGCTTATGATATCTCAAAATAAAGGTCTAGGTGTCTAACATAACCTATTTAAATTTGAGAATAAACTATATTGTATAACTCCCACAGTTTTAAAAATCATTTTGGTACTTGGATGCCCTATTTTTACATTGTCGACACATTTGAGGAATTAACTTACGACACATATCTTGAGTTATATAACTCCAAATTAGGCTTATGATACCTTGTAGGAAAGCTTGAGAAGTCTATAATAACATACTAAAAGATGAGAATTTATGGACAAGGGTTTGTTCCCAATTTAGGAAAGTCCGGATATGTTCTATGTGAAAATTTGTAAAATTATAAAATTGGCTTTGTTGATTTATGGGAACCACTTAACTACTTTAAATAAGTGTTGTATGACATGTTTGATGTACTTTTTATTAGTCCGCAATTGTAAATGAGTTATGATTACGGTTTTGTGTTTTGTCAAATACGTATTATTTTAAAATGAGAACGCTATAAAAAAGAAAAAAATTACCGTATTTTTAATTCAATCACTGTGATTGTAACTTCGCTTAATATCATAGGTGATGATAACATACTGGTGTACAACAGGTTGTTACATTAAGTATGTAGCAATGATTGTGCTAGGAGATTAGGCAGAGAATAAAGTATGTAAGATTGAACTTTGATGGCAAATCTTTTTTCTTTTTTCTTTTTAGCTTTGGTGGTAATATCTTCTTGTTGACCACAGAGCACTAATATTTTCTTCAGATCGAGCCACAATAACGTTATAAAAGTCAAAGTTAGTACCACTGGCCTTTGCATCGCAAGGCCCAAAAGTTTGAATCTTTTGGCATCAAAAGCTTGACCATAAAAGATAGAAGAAATACTACTTTATTCATCAATCTTTTGATACTTCACTAAAAAAAATGGTCTGGATTGAACTTTAGAAGCAAAAAGCAGAGGCAAATATGAGGAGAAATTGATTTGTTTTCGTTTTGAATGGGTTTATCGAATAGTTGAAAACGTGGGAAGGTAACGCAGAGAGAGAGAAATAATAGATAAATAGATAGGAGAGATTAAAGAATAAGAGAAAATATAGAAATATATGTGTATTTATTATTAAAAATAATAAATGACTGGGATTGATTAACATGACACGGTCAAGTGAAAACTCCTCATGAGAGGATCTTATAAAATACATAGGGGTGAGGTAGATATTTTCACATGGGAAGAAAGTTATAAAGTATAGAGAAGTAACATTAAGGGGCGTTTGGTAGAAAAAAAATTTGTTACCCGAGAATCACGATTCTCAAGAATATGGTGAGAAAGTGAATTTCTCAGGAATGTTATCAAAAGTTATTTGGCATGCCAAAGTATTTTCAGAAATATTGAGTTATTTTTTCTGATGCTATGTTTGGTTTATTATAAAATAATGTTAAGAGTGTGCACCGAATTTACAAAATTAACCTTTTTAATTATAAAAAGTTGATTTTTTTTTTATTTCTTTCACATGGAAATCAGAAAATCCTGGAATGACTATGTTGAGCAAGCTCCATAATCCATGTACAACCAACAACAAATCAAAATAAAAATCAACTAATCAGAAAAATTAATCAACTAAACAACAAACTTTAATCAATTAAGCATCAAATAGCTATGAGAATTTGGTTATGAATGAATCTGTGTATTTGTGGTAATTATCATGGTTGGGTTTTCGTTATCACTCATATAAGAGATGAGATAGATCTTGTGGGTGCAGCAGCTGCTTTGGTGGCGTGGAATGGACAAGAATAGAGAAGGTAGGAGAAGCACTATGGCTACAAATGGTTTGACTAGAAGAAGACATAAGACTAACAACAACAGCTACAAAGATTCACCAGGTTCGAAATCCTTTCACTCTCTTTAAGTCTCAGATCTAAAACCATCTCATAAATTTTGATGATGGTGGTTTTTGTTTTGTAGAGGAAGACAGAGCGGTGGGGCTGCATGAGACAGTGGGGCTAAGAGCTCCGGTAGGGCGTGGCAATTGTGGAGAAGAAAGGGCAAAAAATGAAGAGAGGAAAGTCAGAGATAATCTGATAAGACAAGGTTATTTTAGTCATAAAAATTGTGTTTCATTTTTTTGCCTATCGGGAGTCCAAGAATATTATCCACTAGATGGTATTTTGGTGATATTTTGACTTAAAAAATACACACAAAATAAAATCTCGAAAAAATTATTTTCCCAAAACTTTTTTCTAAAATGAGTTACCGAATATGATCTTCTTAGAAACCTACTTTTACTTTTTTGGGTTTCTCAAAGTAATTCCCCTGTTAAATATCACCTTGAAAAAAATGAAAAGTCAAGGATAAACAATGACTTGTTGTTTTTTTTTAAAAAAAAAAAAAAATCAGAAAAGGACTTTGGATTAGCCTTTTAGAATATGCCATGTATTCAAGAATATTCTTTAGAATTTGGGAAAGGCAACGATGCTTTTACGTTTGGTCGAGGAAATTTTTTTTGAATACTAAGGAAATGTAATTGATAGGAAAATGGTTCGAAAGTGAGTTTGGTAAGAAAATGTAAAAAAGTTGTTTGATTGGAAAAAAATTTATCGGGAAAATTTGGTAAATATTATAAAGTCTATGTTTGGTTTGAGTTAAAATATTGATGGAAAAATAAGTTACAATTATCAAAATACCCCTTATTTTTAGATTTTTTTGAATCTCATCCTGCGGTGTCTATGTTTGATTGTGTGAAGAGTACTCTCATTCAGTGTCATAAATCTATCAGAAATTGCCACATCATTTTAGACTATTCAAACCTTTAGAAATTGCCTCTGTGCTCATCGCACTCTGCTTCCAGTTATGGTGAAGGATGAAGGTAACTTTATAAGAGGGTAGTTTTGGTAGTTATGGTGCCAATTTTTTTTCATTTACCTAGCTTTTGTGAAATACCACCTTGGAAGTGAGATTTGAATACCATGCATTTTATCAGATTTTGCAAACAATTATCAATGACTAGGCAAATCATTTAGCTAGGAAAATTTTTTAATACCATATACCAAACATGGACAATCCCAAATGCCAATCTCATATGCCTAGGTAAATTTCAAGAAAGCTGCTACCAAACACAACCTTATGCAATTTTAAAAAAAAATCTAAAATAATATTATTTTCAAACATAATATCAATTTGTATTTTATTTAAGATGAATTAGTCTCGTACATCCCACGAATGTCTGCCACGTGTTTCAAATTGATATGGCTAATAATTTATTTTAAATCGTGGCTAAATTCGTAAAACTAATGTTACACCCATTCCACTGTTATGATATATATTTGGGATATTCTAGTAGTTTCATGGTTTTAAAATTAGTTTGATTTAGGTTGAATTTTAAGATTAAAATTTTAAATTTTTTCTAAGATGATATTAGAAAGAATCGAACATATATTTTCACTCCATTTCTTTAGTTCTCAATTAAACTACTATTATTTGATGGTATGACATATTTGTTTAAAAGAAGTAACATAACATATTATACAAAATTAAAATAATATATTAACTTACATTCTAAATTTAATTATAAGCGTTGTAATATTTAGTCTTACATAAACCTTCATTAAATTATTGAGTTTGTTCTTTCTAAAGTTACTTTAGATAACTTTATTTAATGTTCATCAAAACGACGTTGTTTTGGGACAGAAATCATGATGTTTTTGTAATTTTAATTTATTTCAGGATTATAATAGTTTTTATCATTCTAATTTTTTAATTTTTCCCGAAATTATTTCATATTACATGTTTATTTATATAACAAGTTAATTATAAAATAATGAAGTCTTAGACTGATATGGTGTAACTACAATTATACAGACTAAATTGAAAAATAATACATATGAAAAATATTATCCTTATAACTATAAACAATGTAATATTTTTTACAAGTGATACTTATTTTTAATTTAGTCTATATACTTTACATTATTATAACTTTAATAGAAAATATTAAAACTGTAATATACAATATGAATCAAATTAGAAGTATGATAAGTATGTGGATTAAATTTATTTATATATATAAAAAAACAAATTGAAAAAGAATATCACTTACATAAATTTAAAATATATTTCAACCTTAGGGTAAAGTATTTTTTCACGGGAGATAAGTTATCCCAAATTTTTAAATTAATGAAAAATATTTCGATAAAATTCATAAGACAAAAAGATATATAAGATTATAAAAATATCTTTTATTAATTTAAAATGAAGTCATTTCGGAAATAATTGAAAATAACTTGTCTCCCTGGAAAGTTTGTTTGCCATTTGAAAATAAATATCTGGAGTAGGTGTACAAATTATTGAAGTCAACGACTCCAACTCCAAGGCAATAAAAGAGGATAGTGTTGATTCTTAGCACTCGGCATCAGTGATTGGGGCATGTCTTCCTCGCTCTACCAAAATGAATGATGTATTTCTTAGCTTCAGAGGGGAGGATACTCGCACCAACTTCATTAGTCATCTTTACAAGGCTCTGTATAAGAAACCAGTCAACGCATTCATTGATGATAATCTTAAAAGGGGAGAAGATGTTTGGCCTGCACTTTCCAAAGCAATCGAGGAGTCGCACATATCGGTGGTTGTTTTTTCAGAAAATTATGCATACTCGAAGTGGTGCTTGGAAGAACTCGTCAAGATACTTGAGTGCAGAAAAGATCATGGTCAGGTTGTTATGCCTGTTTTCTACGAAACAGATCCGTCAGACATAAGGAAGCAGGCTGGCACTTACGAGACAGCGTTCGCGAAACATGAGCGAGATCTTAGGGTCGAAGACAGCGAATCGAACAAACAAAAAGTACTTAAGTGGAGAGCTGCTCTGTCTGAAGCAGCCAATATATCTGGTTGGGACTCTCGAAACCATAAGTAAGTCTTTCCTCTCTCTCTCTCTCTCTTAGCAGATATAGTTGTTCACCAGATTCATTCTGTTTTAATTTATCCATTTAATAGTTTTTCGTATAATTTGATTTAAAATTTTTATCCGGATAGAAATTATTGAAAAGGTCAATATTGTCCCTTGAAATTTTGAGAAAAAAAATATGGTAGTAGTACATATAAAAGTGGATTGAGAAAAAAAAAAAAAACACGAGTGGAAAATTGTAATAGAGAAGATAGGTAGAGAGGAGAACGAAGAAGTTTGTCATTTTTGAAAAGTCAAAATAGCTCCTGGTAAAAGAACATATAAGAAATTAAGTCAAGACTCGTGCTGTGAGCATAACAAAATAATTGGCCTTTTGCTCCGTTCCATTAATATATTATTGAATAGTATAAGAATACCGATCTCTACTATATTTCCTTTTGACACATGGGTTCGTTTATTTTATGCTAGGGACGATTCTCAACTCATCGACAACGTTGTCAAAGATGTAACCCAAATGCTGCACCCGAGTTATCCTATTAAACTGGAAGGCATAGTTCGATCTGGAAAAAAATGTAAAAAAGTTGAATCATTAATGAAAAAACATCAAGTAATTGGAATTTGGGGTATGCCTGGAGTAGGTAAGACGACCATTGCTAAAGTCTTGTTTGCCAAATTCTTTCTCCAATATGACAATATCTGTTTCGTGGCCAATGCAAAAGAAGTTTCACTTGATAAGATTCTATCTGAGTTATTAAAGGAGGAAATTTCCGCATCTAATGTTCTTGGAACCACATTCATTACGAGGAGGCTCAGTGGTAAAAAAGTTTTTATTGTACTTGATGATGTGGATAGTTATGATCTATTAGAAGATTTACGGAGGGCATACAGTCACTTGAGTCAAGATAGCAGACTCATTATAACAACAAGAGATAAGCAATTACTTGCTCGAAGAGTTGATTATATATACAAGGTCAAGAACTGGAAAACTACGGAATCTCTGAAGCTTTTCAGCTTAGAAGCCTTCAACCAAAGCCGTCCCCAAAATGGTTACCTCCATCTCTCAAAAAGGGCAGTTGATTATGCTGGGGGCGTTCCATTCGCTCTTAAATTTTTGGGTTCATATCTTCGATCAAAAAGTATTGAATTTTGGGAAAGTACTTTGAGAAAAATCAACAATTATAACATTGTGAAAATTCAAAACTTGCTAGAAGTGAGTTATGACGAATTAGATGGTCTAGAGAAGAAGATATTTCTAGACATTGCATTTTTTTTCATAGGAAAAATGAAAGATCATGTCACAAAGATACTAGATGCCTGTGATTTCGAAGCAAGTAGTGGAATAGAAGTCCTTGAAGACAGAGCTTTGATAACTATTTCACATAGCAATATAATACAAATGCATGACTTGCTACAAAAAATGGCTTTGGAAATAGTACGCATGGAAGATGAAGAAAACCCTGAAGGACGTAGCCGATTGAGGCATAGTGAAGCTCATGATGTAATTGAAAAAAACAAGGTAATGAAAAGAAACGCACACTTTTTATTTTTTCCAGACATTTTTTTTTTTTTTTTGTATAGAAATTGTAGCTAATTTGATTCCTTTTACTTTTATGTTTTGTCAGGGGACTAAAGCAATTCAAGGCATAACACTAGATTTGTCTCAGATCACAGCTTTACCTTTGCGTGCTGACACATTCACAAAGATGGAAGCCTTAAGATTTCTTAAATTCTGTAACCCCTTGGATCAGAGTTCAAGTAATACATATGTCAAGCTTCCTACAGTTCTTGAGCCATTTTGTGACAAACTGCGGTATGTTGAGTGGATTGGATACCCTTTTGAGTCTCTTCCACATCTTTTCTCTGCCAAGTTGCTTGTTGAGATTCGCATGCCGCACAGTAATGCTAAACAACTTTGGCAGGGGACACAGGTAAAGATGTAAACATACATATGCTTACCTTATTTTATTTTATTTTTTCCAACAGGATTTTCCATTTCGATGTCATGTCACCTTTTGAATTGTAACAGGAACTTGATAATTTGGAGGGAATCGACTTAAGTGAATGCAAAAAGTTTGAAAACCTTCCGGATTTGTCTAAGGCGTCAAGACTAAAATGGGTGAATCTCTCCGGTTGTGAGAGTTTACGTGATCTCCACCATTCACTTTTATCCACCGATACACTCGTTACTTTGATACTTGATAGGTGTATAAATCTTAAGAGTGTTAAAGGCAAGAAGCATTTAAAGTCTCTGCAGACAATCAGTGTCAATGGCTGCTTAAGTCTGCAGGAATTTGCAGTATCTTGGGATTTAATTGAAAACTTGGATTTAAGAAATACAGGTACAGGAATCCAGAGATTGGGCACATCGATTGGGCTTCTGCATAATTGGCCTAATCTAGAGGGTTTAAGACTCACGCATCTGAAATCTCTTAAGGAGCTGAAGCTCTCTTGCAGCGGATTAGTTATTGACAAAAAGCAGCTAAGTGACCTGTTTGATGGGTTACGATCTCTACAAATACTACATTTGAAGCAGTGTAGTTACTTGTTTGAAGTCCCTGACAACATCCGCGTCCTATCACAATTACAGGAATTAAAGCTAGATGGAAGCAATGTGATAAGCTTGCCTACAAGCATCAAGTATCTCGAAAGGCTAGAAATTCTGTCCTTAGAGAATTGTCGCAAGCTTAAGTGTCTGCCAGAGCTTCCACCATCCATCAAACAGTTAAATGCGGATAACTGCGAGTCATTGATGTTTGTGTCAAATTTAAAGGGTTTGGAGTCAGAATCAGGACGTAGCGTAACCTTGACATCAATTGAAGGATCTTATGAGAAGGAAAGCAATGGCTCGAGTGAACAGTCTTTCAGTGATGGTATGCAACTTATTATTCTCTTTCTCTATTATACTCTCGTATATATTAATTATGCTTATTTGCTTTTTCCTTATTCCTTTACTAAACTAATTAATTGCATTTTTTTTAGTCATCTTACGATGACTACAAAAAGAAAAAATAAGATTTACATAAAAGAACAAAAATCCACATTATTTTACACGGAATCACCGGTTCGTATTATTTAATAATGAATATTTCTTCTACAAGACATTTTTGGTAATGTTCTGTTTCTTCTTCAGTACAAGAAAGATATAATAGCATGATTAAAAGGAGACAAAATCTGGATCATTAAGATATTATTCCTTTTATGTAAGGTACTCGGACACCCTGTAAAAAAAATATAAATGGTTTCTTGTAATTTTTGTTCTTCATTTTTTTTTTATTTGTTTAATTTTTCACATCCTCTTTGAGCAAAACCATTTCTGTAAACCATTGCTCCAACTTAACTTTTCATTTTTATTTTCACTCTACTCTTTAGTGTAACACTTCATCACTGGGTTTGATTTTGGATTTCAATCTGGAGAAAGAAATCACTTCCTCTATGGATTTTCTAGTAATTAGAAAACTCAGATCATAAATATAAAGATTGAAGAGCAGAAAAGAAACAGAAACAAAAGAAATTGAAACCATGCAAAGAATGCACAATGAATGAAAACACTACAGTACTAGAATTAAAATAATATAAAGCAAATTTGATTGAATTAAGGTAGTTATAAACTCCACTAATCCAAAGAATCTTTTAATGTGTGAGATTTACTGATGGGAAATCAAGAGTAAGGAATAGGATAAAATTTCACATTAGTTAGGAATAAACTAAGTGAGGGTATAGAAAAATTCTTTGATTTAGTATCTTAAGGTTTTGAGTAAGATGCGGTATTAAGCCAATTTATTGTGATTGATTATTACCTAGCCCATGGATAATAGTTTCCTTGCTTTGGGCTACCTTGATCGCCAAACATATACAAATTCAAGCTGAGAATGTGATGTACAAATTGACATTTATAGGCAAAGTTTCAATTACTAGTTTTTACATGTTGACTAGGTAAATTAACACTTCTTATTTAATAAAAGACAACTAGGTAAATTAACTTTTATGTTCTTGGTAATTTCTTTTATTTTTTAAGTTTTCGATTATAGTATCTACTAATAACTACTCATAAGCTTTTACTTTCAATTATTATGTCATAAAACTTACTTTATCTTTTAAAAGCCAGCAACATTTCTTGAAATTGTCGAAGTGTATTATCACCGGAAAACTGTGGTAATATATTTTTTCGATGCTAGCATCACCACACTACTGTTCAGCAATCATTTTATTAAGTTGGTGCAATATGTCTGGGCTACAAATTTTAGTTGTATGAGATGCACGATGTGGAGGGGCTCTGAAACGGATATACTCTAGATTCATGTGTTTCCATATATTATGGTATTAAGTGATATTATTATGGGTTTTATAAGAGTTATGTTGTGGGAAAACTGATTGTGTAATGTTATAGAGATTTGTTTTACGTATAATTTTTTATTTTTCTTTTTTCTTTAAAAAGTGTGAGTCCCACAAAATATTGTGTGTGTAAGAAAGTTTGTTGTATTATGTTAAATGATAAATGCAAATCCCAATATTATTGTCAATCACTAATTGATTAGTTGTGCGGAAAGCTGAATCGACAGTAGGAAAAAAAAAAAAAGAGGTCTGTTTTATCGTGGGTCAATTGGCGTCTCCTTTAATCTTTGTCAAAAGGGTTGTGGCGGAACAGTGATCAAAATGTCACTGCTCATCAACTTTTTTACTTTAATGCCACACGAACAGTCTTATTTTTCAATCTGCCACGGAGGCGAGTTCGTTACCTGGTGTAGCGAACTCGGTTTGCTGACGTGTCACTTTTTTAGTGGACACCAAATTCGCTACACGTAACCAAGTTCGCTACCCTATGTAGCGACCTTCAAACCTTTTTTTAATTTGGTACTTGTTATCCACCAGAAATGTGACACGTTAGCAAACCGAGTTTGCTACACCGGGTAGCGAACTTGCCCCGTGGTAGATTGAGAAATAAGATTGTTCGTGTGGCATTTAGGTAAAAAAATTGGTGAACAGTGACACTTTGGTCACTGTTCCGGTTGTGGCTACCTAGCAAAACCAAAAAAAGAAAAGAAAAACAACAACAAAGAGAAAAGAAAAAAAGAAAGGTCTTGTTCTGTTGCACAAAAGGCCACATACTCCAATAATTACCAATAAGTCATTCTTGTCAAGCCAAATGCCACACAATTTAACTATCAAATCGTACTGTCAAAAATCCCATTCCTTCACTGATGTCACTTTCGTTATTGCTCACCTATTTCCAAATTCATCCAAAGATCTCCAAGATTTGAGATTGACGTGGCATAAAAAAAACTGTAAAAAATCTCATTCCTTCACTGATGTCACTTTTGTTATGGCTCACCTATTTCCAAATTCATCAAAATATCTTCAAGATTTGAGATTGACGTGGGATTAAATAAAGAAAAGGTCGAGTTTAGAACCAATATATGCAGCGAATGGCATCCTTTAAACCAATTTGAAGGATATCCTCTTATGTGTTATTGTTACATGAATATAAAATCATTAATGTATCTTCAACCAAAAGCTTAGCTATTGAGTTTGATTCGTTCTTTACATCGTATCAGATCGATCTCACCTTCCATGACCTTTTCGTTTTCTTTTCCACTGCAGAGTTTTCTAAAGTTAGGAGCCCACCATTTTCCAAGTCTTAATGTACCATTTGTTTTCCAGCAACTCCTTTAATTTTTTTTTCTTTCAATAAAGCCCATTTGTTTTGGTAGTTGCCTGCCTAATTTATGAGCTTTCAAATGTTGTTTTTGATGAATTTGGAAGAGAAATTTTAGTTCTTGTTGAGTATATTTGCTTGACATGACCTTCCCACTGATGGTTGTTCTAGCGAAGGATATTCTCGCTGATTCCAACTAAGGACATTTTTGCTAATTTTATTCCAGCAAAACCTTCTTACTTGGTCAAGTAATATTTCAGCAGTTATTCAGGCTGACGATCATTCCAGTCATTTGCTGAGTTAATTTCCCAGCAACGTCTATCTCTCATACTTTTTTGGCATTCCTGAGTTGTCTTTTTAACAATGTTTTGTGGACAATTTTTAGTAGAACGTTGGACATTATGTTTAAATTTTTGACTTGAATTGGTTTTTTACATGGTATTAGAGCCAGCCAATATAACTGAGTGGTCATGAGTTTGATCCTCACTACTCCCATTCTATTTGATAATAATTAAATATTGTAGAGTTTCTTAGCATAGGTAAGTTAGACCTAATGCATCATCCACCTTTCAAGCCCAATGAATTTTCGTGTAAGGGAATAGGTTAGAAAAATATAAACTTAATAATGTAACCTCACCAAACATATTAAGATTTTGTTTGAATTAATTTTTTAAAGTTATTTAACATGTCCGTATTATGCGGGAGTATCTCACCTATACAAGATTGAATCAACAATCATAAGGGAAATGAGAAAAAAAAAAATTAAAATAGGAAGTTATAAAACTATCACAGTTGATTTATTTATTGATAATATAATTATATTAAATAAGACTCTAGAGTATCCATTTCCTACCATTTCGGTTTCCCTCCAAATCTATTATTTTCAACCCCCTAACTTATCATTTTTCTTGTCTTTGGTCACAGAAACAGACTCAGACTCAGAAATAGAAATGGTTGAACCAGATTCGGCTGAAGAAGGTAATGATGGGAGGAAAGAACATTATTCTAATGAGGAAGAAAGCACCAAATCTACTCGCAATAGATTGGTTAGCAAGGAAAATACCGCGGTGTCTGCTGTAAGTCAAGGGCGCTTTTCTTTTTTCTTTTTTCCGTCAAGGGCTCTTTTATTTTGACAAACTTCGTTTTCCATCTTAAAAATACAAATATAATACTTGCATTTTATTAAAAACATACCTCCTGCAGTTATTATTTTTTATCTTAAAATGATGGGACCACAATATTTTTGTGTCTGATGTCTCCTGTTGCAGAAAATCAATTACCTATTTTATCGTTTATTATTTTTATTATGTCTTTTTGTCAATACAAATATGAGGTTTGTTTTTCTCATGTTGCATGAGAAAATAAATTCTTTCTACCCACACTATAAAAAAGTGTGCCTTTTTTATTTTTTACACAGTTAATGTATCTGTGACATGAGATTTGAATTCTTTTACAGTATAAGATTTACTTTTCCCTACAAATATTACGTTTTGCAGGTCAAAAGCGAACGAAATAAACCTTATGGTTTGCATGAACCTGCTGAGTTGCCGTTGGACAAAGAAAATGAATCTAAAGAAAAGTCAAGTAAGAAACTTTATTTGCGTATAAACCATTACTTAATGAGGGAATTAATATTTTTTCATATTTTATGTTATAAGTATCTTCTACAATATGAGAAATATTAATCTCCTTAATTAATTATACAACAATTTTAGGTTTTCCTCCAAAGGGTATACTTCTTTTACTTTATAGCTGCACATACAAAATTTACTTACAAACTTTGTATTAATTGGTAATGTTCTTACTCATCATTTAAAAAAAAAAAAAAATCACTTTCTATTAAACCCGTCTAGCGAGTGTGGAGAGAAGATAATTATTATACCCAACTTTACCCTTGCATAATTGCAAAGAGGCATTCTTATTCATTATTTCACACAAATAATTCAAAAACCTTTGAGTCACTTATATCCATATTGTGAAAGATTTTTCACAATCAACACAACAGATTCAACTATCATGTGATACAAAATTTCATAATATTTATTAAAAAGAAAGGCAATAAGGATTGAATTTACATCACTTTGTCATGGAAGTTTTAATATAATGTTATTAACCAACTCTCCCAAAAATTTAAGGGGTATATTGGATTAAGATTTTAAAAGACTTAGTATACCAAAAAAAAAATAGATTTTAAAAGACTTTTTTTGAGATAAAAAATCTTATAGATTTTAAAAGATTATTTAAAATTGGAGGGACTTTAAAGACTTTTTTAAAAGACTTTTTTTACAATCAAGATTTCATAATATTGAATTTTAATAGAATTTATAAGATTTGAAAGGACAATAAGAATTTATAAGATTTTAAAAAATCATATGATTTTTTAACTAACATTCAATAAAAAAAACAAAGAAATGGAATGATATTAGTAAAAAAAAGTAAAACTTAATATAATTTTCTCAATCAGTAAAACATAATATAATTTTTAACAAACATTCAAAATTACTAAGCAACAATTCTTCACATATTTAAAGTTATACTAGTCCTCCACGCATTAGCATTTTCTAGTTTTTGTTCTTGGGTTTGACCAATGGGTTGAAAATTATTTTCTTCATTAGGTATCAGAGCTATGCATATATGATTATAAGATCCAATTTTTTTATTTATTAAAATAATTCTACATTTGCATATAGAATCTAAAGTTCATGATAAAATTTCATTTGAAATTTTTTGCAATTGATCTTGAAAACCTTGAAATTTTTGTTCTACGTAATAAGAGATTTCTAACCATATATTACATGAAAGTTGAGAATGTTTCTCAAATTATTTTCAATCAATACATTGAAACCTTAAATTGCTCTGAGGCTTTTGAAAAATAAGTTTTTAGTTATCTATTGACACAAAAATTGTTTGAAATCGTTTCCTATAGCGAAGAAATTTCGTTCATGAATGTATTGTCACGAAATATAGGGTTCATATTATAAAAGTTTCTATTTTTCTGTAAATTGATATTGTTTCATTGATATAAAACAAAAATTGGTTTGAGGGTTTTAGTTCCCCTGTTGTTTTTCCACTATTTTATGTTGTTTTTAATACAAAAATCACAGCTTTTTGCACCAAAAAATATCGCGACTTATAGCTTGAAAAATTATTTTTTAAACTTCCAAAAGCTCTCAAAAATCTCTTAAAAATCTGCTGTTTTTGATATGGATTATATTAGAATCTTGTTAGTTTGTTGTTTTCGGGTTATTTTGTGATGAAAATCATTCAAAAATTTGTTGCTTTTGAGCTTTGACGAAGCTCCTATAGCGGAATCCGATTTTGAGCGGTTCAACCCGCCAAAGGAAGAAGAAGACACTGCAATATAGAAATATCAAGAAATTCGATGGGTTAGGGTGAGATTGTGAGAGTGACATCCTATTTATATTTCTCACTAAAAAGTTTCACGAAATCCAGACCAATAGAAAATCCATTAAGATCGTCAGATTTTTGAATACCACAAGATTGTTTTTCCTTTATTTAAAATCCTAATTGAATACCAACAGATTTGAACGGATCCTAAAATAATCTTTTAAAATCCTAATCGAATACCACGTGACTTTTTTTCAATCCTTTAAAATTCTAATTAAATATCAATGGATTTTTTTTCAAAAATAATCCATTAAAATCTTTTAAAATCCCAATCTAATACACCCCGTAAATTGTTGGGCTTTTTGACCACTGTAGCCCTTATGTAATAATTAATTACCAAATTGACTTTGATTATAAACTATTTCAAAAATTTAACCTTGTTTAAAAATATAACACCAATCTGCCCCTGTTTGACCGTTGACCATCAAGCCTACCCGAGTATGCCCTCCTTACCCGAGTATTTTTTAAAATTTTACCCTACCCGGTTAGGTAGGGGGATACTCGGGTATATTTCATAAATCTAAGAAAATGTTTGAATTATTTACCCGGAGAGAGAGGGGACTACCCGGGTAAATCACAAAGATGTTATCCAGTAATGATTTGACTATGTCCTAGCAACGCCCATTTTTTAAGCTTTTAACTACTTGTGTGCAGAGTCCTGCTAATTAATTCCTACATTTTAAATGCTATTTTTGTAAAAGTGGATTTCTTATCAAGGCTGTGATATGATGCGGTGGTTCTATCAGCATCTCCTTGAACATGTCTTCATTTAAAGGTAGCAAATAATCTCTCTCTATTAACTGAGATATTTGTCTACAATGTAAGTAGTATGTCTTCGTTCACATTCCTTCTTTTCTCTTAGCTTTGTATTGGAAAAGTCATGCTTATGGCTTTGCTTTTCCAGTCTTTAAAGATTTTTTCCCCCAGATGAATCCTGATGAATGATAATTACCGTTTCCCAATTTCTACCAAATTATCAGATCATTATAAATGAACTCGACAGGTGCAGACATCATTTGAAACGTCAAATGCATTCAGAATTTTCCTGTAGTATTTAAAGCAGAGGCGCACAAAATTTGAAGGAAAAAAATTATACATACAAAAGCACCAAACGATTGAACGAGGGTCCGCCACATTGGGTTCTGACATTGAAACTCCTTTCGGTATACACGATAACACGAAGTTGGGCAAGATAGCAAGATACAGTCACTAAATCCTCCTTGAGGGTTCACCTCCCATTCCCAGATCTTCTTCAATCTTCCAAACGGTCTAGGTATAAATTTACCCGGGTAGTCCCTCTCTAACCGGGTAAATAATTCAACCATTTTCTCAAATTTATGAAATATACCCGGGGATCTCCCTACCTATCTGGGTAGGGTAAAATTTTCAAAAAACACCCGGGTAAAGATGGGATATTCGGTAGGCTTGATGGTCAACGGTCAAACAGGAACAGATTAGTGATATGTTTTTAAACAAGGTTAAAATTTTGAAATAGTTTATAATCAAGGTCAATTTGGTAATTAATTATTACATAAGAACTACAATGGTCAAAAAACCTAAATTGTTAGATGAATATTCATGAATGATTTTTATATTTATATTTGTAGCATATGTGCATATATTTATTTATTTTTGGTTGAATTTATCTTTTCTCCTAATTAATATTTTTCTTTCTTTAGCAGTGGCGATTGAACTAGAATCAGTTCAAAAAGACAAAGAGAGAAGAGATCATTTTTCTCGTGTGAAAGAGAGCATCGGATCCACTCACAACGAAATGAAAACCGGACCAGGAAGAGGTATCAAGGAGAATACCACAAAGTCTACAAAAGTTGTAAGTTGCTAATATTTTATTTTGACAAACTTTGTCATCTTACTTGAAAGTGTAAAAAACATAAAATATAGTACTTGCATTTTAGCGTTGTATCAATTTTCAACTATGTCATTTTGTCAATATGATGAATAGATAAATTGTGCAGGTCAAAAGCGAAGGAAATAAAGCAACGACAGCTGAACCTGGTGCCAGATTGCATGAACTTATTAAGTCACAGCCAGACAAAGAAAATGCATCTATGAACAAGTCAAGTGAGAAACTTTATTTGTGTATATACCACTTTCTAATAAATCATACTACCATTTTAGGATTTCTTCAAAGGGTATATACTTCTTTTATGTCTTCCGTAGCTGCATACACAAACTTTTTAAAAAATCATACAAACTTTATATTAACTAGTAGTATTCTTTATCCATCATAACAGATAAACAATATTTGAGTCACCTATTTCTCATGTTGTGAATGGCCAGGTGATTGACCCTTTTGCCTCCGATTAAAATAAATATTACCACTTTGCCCTTATTTTGAAATTATTTAAAGTTATTAACCTTTTATTAAAACACAATACCAATTTGCTCTTATTTGACTGTTGACTGGCCAAAGTACTTGAATACATGATTTATATGCTTGAGTAAATTTCGAAGGGATGAGTTACTTGAGTACAAGGCTCTTGTACTCGAGTAACTCAGCCGTATGAGAATGTGCAGTGCAATGAGGCATTGAGCAATGACAACAATGGTGTGTTTCCAAGTCTTCATGGATGTGACCCTTTGCTTTCTTTCACGTTTTTTTGTACCACTTCACTACTTCACAACTTTTGGTGTCTCTTCATTCTTGCCTCTTGCTTGGTTGATCGAGATCTGCGAGGCTAGAGGAAAGCAAAATATAAGGGGCAGGTATAATATTTGAGGGCCAACTGATTATTCTGGAGAGCAAATCTATCAACAGTGTGCAAGCTTACACATCCAGTAATATAGGGTTTTATGAGCCCTGGATTATCGTCCTTAGGGAAAGATTGTAAAGTTGTGCTTAAAGAAATGTAATTACATAAAGTAATTAAGTAAAAAGTAAATAGGAAACAAAGAGCAATTTTTATGCCAATGAGCCAAACTGTCATAAATTTAGGTTAGCCTTTAAGTACTTGTCACTAGCTCAATCAAACAAAGTTGATGATTCTCGAATGATCAAGGATTGGGTTTATCCCTTAAACTTAGCTTGAGTATTGCCTTAGAAACTCAGAAAAACGTGCAATTTGTGAGCAATTCTTTAAGAGATACTAAATTGAGACCAGAACAAAAGACAAAGAGCAAAGAGAGAAACGTTTCTTTGAGAATTTCTTAATTGCTACAAAAAAGTATGAAAGTAACAATGAAACAGAAATAAGGTGATAACAAAGGTGTAGGCTAAGGTTAGTATTTTCGCCTCACTAGGTCATTCCCTAGACTTAGCACCGCTCCTAAAAATGGGTTTAACTTTGGGTGCTCTTCCTTGCCTTGTTAAGAAAGAATGGTTAAAACAATAACACAAGAGAGGGTGAATAATGTTTAACTTCTTTTGCAAGAAGTAAAGAAAACTAAACCCCTTTTTCAAGAAAACAAGCCAAAACAAAATAGAATAGAAATTGAATTTTTCCAATCCAAAAATAGATTTAACACAGTCCAAATAACATCACAAAAAGAGATATTGCAGTGGAAATAAAAAAATTAAGGGAAAGAAGAGAAAAACTCCAAGATTTATCCTGGTTCACTCTCAAACCACATAAGAGCTACATCCAGACTGAGGTCAATCGTCCACTAATCTCAGAACTTCCAAACAGTGCCTGAGAAATTGATTTACAAAGGAATTTTACAAAAAGCTTGATTAAGGCTTTGATCACTCTCAACCTATAGCCTATAGGATCACTCCAAATCTCCAATTCAAGTTACAACAGCAAACAAATGTGAAACAGATGTAGGATCACTCCACTACGTTCACAATTGTAAAAGAAATCTTAGAAAAAAATGAAGAGAAGAGAATTATTGAGCTTATATCTTAAGATATGCAAAAACAAGACAAATGAGAGTTTATACTTTGAATTTGTGTAATCTGAAGTGTTTCTCTCTTAATTCAGGATTAGGAACCCTTGTTATATGTTTATATAGAAGTCTCAAGAGTTACATGACTGTTTATAGCCGTTGAACCCCTAAATTTTAATAATCATTTGCTTCCAGATCAATATCCGGATATATCCGGATATTCATATCCAGATATTCTTCAGGCTCATCCGGATATCAGTATCCGGATATTCAAATATCCATATTCGGATATTTAAGTGCAACAACCTTGAATTGTCCAATTTCGATCCAATTTAATTCTAAATGTATTTTTCTCACTTTTTACACATGAATGTATGCTTCTTGCATCAATCTAACAGTGTTCCACGTGTGAGTTATTGTATGTATGGATCAAGTATGTGTGTCACTTATGCATGAGTTATACAGCTCAATAAACTTATTCTTTAAGTTTCTAAGACTGTAAATACTATTACAAACAGTGTAAGCTTGAGACTTCATGTTTCTTCATTGATCTTCAATCTTTGAGCCTTGTATAGCTTGGAAACTTTGACTTTGTAGTTGACTTTGGCAATTTTATAGTCCCTTTTGTTGAGATATATAAAATCATTAATGTAGCCTCACCCAACAGCTTAAGCTTTTGGGTTGAATTGGTTCTTTACATGGTATTAGAGCTTCGGTGTATCGGATTCGATCCTCCCCGCTCCCCACTTTCTTTCAAGTGGAATTTCTTTCTTCGCACAAGTAGATGGGCCTGTGCATTGTCCACCCTTCAAGCCCAGTGAGTTCTCGTGTGAGGAGGCGTGTTGAGATATATAAAATCATTAATGTAGCCTCACCCAACAGCTTAAGCTTTTGGGTTGAATTGGTTCTTTACATGATATCAGAGCCTCGTGTCCCGGGTTCGATCCTTGCTTCCCCTCACTTTCTTTCAAGTGGAATTTCTTTCTTCGCGCAGGTAGGTGGGCCTGTGCATTGTCCACCCTTTAAGCCCAGTGAGTTCTCCTGTGAGGGGACGTGTTGAGATATATAAAATCATTAATGTAGCCTCACCCAGCAGCTTAAGCTTTTATTTGTTGGATGAAGCTACATTAATAAAAATGGGGGCTTTTAGTTAGAAAATACACCAGATAACTCTCCACTTTTGGGAGCTATCACCTCTCCCAACAAATCTTTGTTCTTTTTCTTCTCTCCATTTTCTTTTCCATTTCCATAAGATTTTTGGTTTTTCTAGTCTTATGTTTTTAGTTTAGTTGTTGGGTTTTCTTTCTCTGATTCCCTGCCTTAGTCTTGCGGATGGATAACCAAGATTAAAGAAGAACTCGAACTCAAGGTGTTGTTTCTTTCAAAACAGTCATTAGGTTTATCTTCTTTTTCTCTATATTTGATTTTTATTGATGTTTGCTATTGTTTATATTTCTGAGTTTTGGTCCTTTAATGACTTTCTTGGTTTTTTTATGGAAAAGTCCTTGTATTTTTGGGTTGTTATTATTATTATTTTTCTTTTAAGTTTTTAGAGGACAAGGTTTTTATGGTGCTTTCTTGATTTTACAGGACACGAGAGTCATGGAGTTCATGTATGTATATGTCGCAAAGGATGGCTTTTCTCGAATCCACACCCGAGTGCCAAACGTTTAGTTTCAGAGAGCCAGACGTGTTTTGATTCTGAACACCTTTTCGATGAGGATCACAAAACACAAGGCAAGTTGTCTTTCTTTTTAATTTGATGAAATTAAACACTTAATGATGTATTAACAATTTATTTTACATCAACGAATAAGTACTTTTTTTTTTCTTACTGATTCGAATTACCTCTTTGAGGCGAATCAGAACCCCCCGGTATCTCCACGGGTTCGCCTATGGAACTAATCCAGAGTTCGGGTACGAGTCCAAGGATTACGGTACTTATGCCCCTCCCCAGATGGTGTTGGTGGGATTCGAAATGAGGTCCTCTCCCACCACTCAGTCCCTATGCTACCAACTGAGCCACCACACTTGGGTAAAATAAGTACTTTTTTATTAAATATTGAACCACATCTACTAGTATACTTAAGAACTTCATATATAATTGTGAAGTAGATATCTAATATACTAGAGTATATGAGCTTGTACTCAAGTATCTTAATGTCCTGAAAGGTACTCGAGTACAAGATTCATGTACTGGAGTACTTTACTCGAGTACAATTTTCATCTTAAATAGCTTCATCAATAGTCTTGGGCTCAACTTGAGATACAAAGGCTAGGTGGTTGCATGCATTTCTCAAAGAACTTCTAGTAAAAACTCCCTTTGAGATGTCTCCAATAATAGCATCAATAAGATGAGACTTAGCATATTTTCAATCCTTAGGAAGCTCTTGTTTGCTCACTTGGTTGCACATTTGATTGATTACTTTGATCATCAATATTGCTTTCCTTTTCCTGGTTCTAGCATCCTTTTCATTAAAAGACAAGTCTTCTATAGCATCTACAACATCATCATCACAAGACTTCATTTGCATGAAAGAGTTAGTTTCATCAAATGCAACATTTATAGATTCATCAATAGTCATTGTTCTCTTGTTATAGATTCTATATGCTTTACTAGTAAGAGAATAACTAAGAAATATGTCTTTATCGGCCTTAACATCAAATTCACTAACGTTATCCTTTCCATTATTCAGAACATAACATTTACAACCAAAGACATGAAATATGCAATGTTAGACTTTCTTCCTTTAAAAAAAGTTCATAAGGTTTTTCTCAAGGATACGTCTAATTAGAGTTCGGTTTATCACATAGAAAGCGATATTCACCGCATCGGCCCAAAAGTACTTAGGAAGATTGCTTTAATTGATCATTAGTGTTGTAGTACTGCAATTTGTATTTCTCATTCTCCTCCTTCCTGCTTGTCTCCACTTTTCCAGTTGTGCATTCTTTTTCTGACAAGGAGAGTTGATGTAGGCTGTTTTTTCTCTCTCCTATCACCTTTTTCAACTTTTGTTCCCTTTTTGTCCTTTTATTCCCTTTCTTCCTCTATTTTTTTATCAACTTTCTACTGGGTCTATGTAAAGTGGGCTACGGTCACCGTAAATACAAAAACGTGAATTAGATCCAAAATCAAATAAATTATGATGTTCTGCTCCCAATTGTGCCCTAATTTCCTTTACCGCAATCCTGCCCAGATTGTGCAAAAAGTGCTCATGGATACAAAAGTGGGCGCAAATGATAAAAAGAACAAAAAAATAGGGGTTTTAGTTAGAAAATATACCAGATAGCTCTCCACTTTTGGGAGCTATCACCTCTCCCAGCAAGTCTTTGTTCTTTTTCCTTTTCCATTTCCATCAGATTTTTGGTTTTTCTAGCCTCATGTTTTTAGTTTAGTTGTTGGGCTTTCATTATGCGATTCACTGTTTTAGGGGGGTGTATTGGATTAGAATTTTAAAAGACTTTTTTGAGATAAAAAATCCTACAGATTTTAAAAGACATTTTAGAATTGGAGAGACTTTATAGACTTTTTTAAAAGACTTTTTTTACAATCAAAATTTCATAGGATTGGATTTTAAAGGATTTTAATAGAATTCATAAGATTTGAAAGGACAATATAGATTTATAAGATTTTAAAAAACTATATGAATTTTTAACAAATATTCAAAATTACAAGAGTCAATAAAAAAAATAACAAAGAAATGCAATGATTTAAGAAAAAAGTAAACTTAACAACGGGTTAAAAATTATCTCAAAAATTACTAATATAATCTAATATAATTTTCTCAATGAGTTTGAGTTTGATTTGCGAAAATAATAACCATTGATTGACGAAAATCAACGGTTAAGATATAGTTATAAACAAAAATAGGTTGTAAGTATAATATTCTCCATAAAAAAATAACAAAGAAATGCAATGAAATTAATAAAAAAATGTAAAACCTAATATAATTTTCTCAATCAGTAAAACATGATATAATTTTTAACAAACATTCAAAATTACTAAACAATAGTTTTTCACATATCTAACAGGTTGAAAATTATTTTCTACATTTGGTATCAAAGTTATGCATATATGATTATAATTCCCAATTTTTTTAATTATAAAAATAATTCTAAATTTGCATATAGAACCTAAAGTTCATGATAAAATTTCGTTTGTAACTTTTTGCAATTGATCTTGAAAATCTTGGAGTTTTTATTTTACGTGATGAGAATTTTCTAACCATATATCATATGCATATTTTCATTGAATATTCTAAGAAAATTTTGAATCTGAAATTTTGGGTTTAATTACATGAAAGTTTAGAAAATTTCTCAAATTTTTTTCAGTCGATACATTGAAACCTTAAATTGCTTTGGGGCTTTTGAGAAACAAGTTTTTAGTTATCTATTGACACAAAAATTGTTTGAAATCGTTTCCTATAGTGAAGGAATTTCGTTCATGAATGTATTGTTACGAAATATAGGGTTTATATGAAAGTTTCAATCTTTCTTTAAATTGATATTGTTTCATTGATGTAAAACGAAAATCGATATTAGTTCCCCTGTTATTTTTTCACTGTTTTATTTTTAATACAAAAATCATACTTTTTGTGCCAAGAAAAAACCGCGACCCATAGCTTGAAAAAACACTTTTTAAACTTCTAAAATTTCTCAAAAATGGCTAAAAAATGTTATTTTTGAGATAGATTATATTAAAATCTCGTTGGTTTGTTGTTTCTGGGTTGTTTTGTGATGAAAATGCCTCAAAAATATGTTTTTTTTTTTAGTTTTGATGAAGCTTCCATGACAGAATCCAATTTCGAGCAGTTAACCTGCCAAAGGAAGAAGAAAACACTGCAATATAAGAATCTCAAGAAATCCTAGGGGTTAGGGTGAGATTGTGAGAGAGGCATCCTATTTATATTTTTCACTAAAAAGTCTCACGAAATCCACACCAATAGAAAACCCATTAAAATCGTCGGATTTTTGATTACCACGAGATTGTGATTCCATTGTTTAAAATCCTGATTGAATACCAACGGATTTGGACGGATTCTAAAATAATCCTTTAAAATCCTAATCGAATACCACATGACTTTTTTACAATCCATTAAAATCCAAATCCTAATCGAATACCAACGGATTTTTTTGTCCAAAAACAATTTATTAAAATTCTTTGAAATCTCAATCCAATGCACCCCCTTAGTCTTGGGGATGGATAACCAAGATCAAAGAAGAACTCAAACTCATGGTGGTTTTTCTTTCAAAACGGTCGTTGGGTTTATCTTCCTTTTCTCTATATTTTATTTTATTGATATTTGCCATTGTTTCTCTTTTTGGATTTTGTTCCTTTAATGACTTTCTTGGTTTTCTTATGGAAAAGTTTTCTGGGTTTGTCATTATTATTATTATTATTTTAAGTTTTTAGAGGACAAGGTTTTTTTGGTGATTTTTTGATTTTACAGGACAGGAGAGTCATGAAGTTCATGTTTGTAAATGTCGCAAACGTGGATGGCCTTTCTCAAATCCACACCCGAGTGCCAAACATAGGCGCCCTCACAAGAAGATATGTGGAACCATTGAAGGTAACAAACTTTTAGTTTCAGAGTGCCAAACTTGTTCCGATGCTGAACACCTTTCTGATAAGGATTGCAAAACACAGGGCAAGTTGTCTTCTTTTTAATTTGATGAAATTAAACACTTAATGATGTATCAGCAGTTTATTTTACATCAAGATAAGTGCTTTTTTTTAAACACTGCACCACTTCTGCTAGTATACTTAAGAACTTCATGTATAATTGTGAAACAGATATCTAATATACTAGATTACATACTCATGTATCTTAGTATTCTGAAAAGTATTCGAGCACAAGATTCATGTACTTTAGTACTTTACTCAACGGGTCAAACAATGACAGATAAGTGAAATGTTTTGGTGTGGAGGCAAAGTTGTAATATTTATTTTAATGAGGGACAAAAAGATCAATCACCCTAAATGGCTCTTCACAATAAGCATGTGCATCTATAGTTTGCGTTTACCTTTCTTTTTGTTGAGTTTTCTCTTTTCTCTTATAATTTTTCTTCTGTGTTTAGTTGTAGAACCAAAGTCAATGGTGGGTGAACTAGAATCGGCTGAAGAAGATAATGGGAGGAAGGACCGTTTTCCTAACGTGGAAGAGCGCATTGGATCTATTCACAAGGAAACCAAGACCAGTGTTGGAAGCAGTCAAGAGGAGAATACAACAAAGTCTACACAAGATGTAAGTCACTTCTTTTATTTCGACAAATATTGTCATACTTTGAAGTGTCAAAAATATAGAATTTAACAGTTACGTTTTAGCATTATTTCAATTTTCATCTATTCACTTTGTCAATATGATGACTAGATTGTGCAGGTCAAAAGCAAAGAAAATAAAGGAACGTCAACTAAACATGACGCCATATTATATGAACTTGTTGAGTCACAGCCAGACAAAAAAAAGTCCAAAGACAAGTCAAGTAAGGAACTTTATACGTGTAAACACCATTGCTTAATAAATTATACAACCATTTTAGGTTCTCCTCTATACTTTTTTTACTTTAATTGCACAAAAAATAATTCTACAAAAGTATCACTATCTTTTTTTTTTTTTTTAATCTATCATTCCACAAGTTGGAGGAGACTTGGAGGAGGTTTTGAGGGAAATACCTCGAGAGAAGAAGATTTTCTTAGGAGGAGATCTAAATGGTCATGTTGGTAAAAGCAATGGAGGTTTTGATAGAATTCATGGAGGTTTTGGCTATGGGACGAGAAATGAGACTGGAGAAGATATCTTGAATGTTGCACTGGCTTACGATTTGATGCTAGTGAACACCTTTTTTCGAAAAAGGGAGTTACATCTAATCACTTATCATAGTGGCCAAAATTGTAGTCAGATTGATTTCTTTTTGGCTAAAAGAGAAGATAGAGCTTCTTGTATCGACTGTAAGGTCTACCCTGGAGAGTGTGTCGCTACGCATCATAAGCTGGTAGTCTTGGATGTTTGGTTCAACAAAGTACTTACAATGAGGAAAAGGGCTCAGAACCCAAGGATAAGGTGGTGGAAGCTTAAGGAAGGAAAAGAGAGAGTTCAATGAAAGAATGTTGCACGACGGACCTTGGGAGTTTGATGGAGGAGTAAATGCAATATGGAATGAGATGGTTAAGTGTATTCGAAATATGGGAAGGAGGGTGTTGTGAGAAAGCAAGGGAAATGGATTTCATACAAAGGAAACATGGTGGTGGAATAGAGAGGTGCAAAAGACAATTAAACATAAGAAGGAGTGCTTTAGATCTTTGCATAAAAATCCCAGTGAAGAGAACTTGCAAAAGTTTAGATTGGCGAGAAAAATGCAAAGAAAACAGTGCGAGAAGCTAGAGGCAAGGTTTTCGACGAGTTGTATAAAAATCCTGGGAGCAAGGATGGTGAAAGAGGTATTTATAAACTTGCAAAAATAAGGGATAAGAAAAGTAAAGACCTCACCCTAGTTAGATGCATAAATGATGAAAATCAAAAACTTTTGGTGAGAGATGAAGATATAAATGAAAGATGGTTGAACTACTTCAACAAGTTGTTTAATGGGGATGGAGATACAAGCGAGGTGGACTTGGAGGACGCGTATGATGATATGAATAGAAGATTTGTGCGCAGAATTAATACACATGAAGTTAAGGAGGCTTTAAAGAGGATGAAGAGCCTTGGGGCCTGATGGTGTCCCTATTGAAGTGTGGAGAGGCCTGGGGGATGTGGCAATAAAATGGTTGACCAATCTTTTCAATAAAATTCTCCAGACAAATAAGATGCCTGATGCATGGAGGAAAAGTATGATTGTGTCTATCTACAAACACAAGGGAGATATACAGAATTGTTCAAACTATAGAGGCATTAAGCTAATGAGCTATACTATGAAGTTGTGGGAGAGGGTTATTGAACATCGCTTGAGGAGAGATACCAAGGTTTATGTAAATCAATTTAGATTTATGCCAGGAAGATGTACCATGGAAGCCATTTTCTTGATGCGACAACTAATGGAAAGATACTGAGAAAAGAAGAAGGACTTACATATGGTGTTCATAGACCTTGAAAAAGCATATGATAGGGTTCCAAGGAAAGTTCTATGGTGGGTTCTGGAGAAGAAAAAAGTCTCATCAAAGTATGTAAAGGCAATCGAGGATATGTATGATGGGGCTACTACATGTGTAAAAGCTTGTAACGGAACATCAAGCTATTTTCCTATCACGGTAGGTGTACACCAAGGGTCGGCTCTAAGTCCTTATCTCTTTGCCTTAGTTATGGATGACCTAACAAAAGATATTCAAGAGGAAGTGCCATGGTGTATGCTTTTTGCAGACGATATTGTGCTTATTGATGAGAGCGAGGATGGTGCTAATAGAAAACTTGAATTGTGGAGAAGCACATTGGAATCCAAAGGATTCACATTAAGTCGAAGCAAGACGGAGTACCTGAAGTGTGAGTTTTCTCTGGTACGATATGGGGACCAAGATCCCGTGCATCTAAGTGGTCAAGAGGTACCCAAAAAAGATGTTTTTAAATACCTGGGCTCCATTTTGCAAAAAGGTAGAGCGATTGATGAGGATGTAAATCATAGAATCAGAGCAGGGTAGATGAAATGGCGCAGTGCATCTGGGTTTTTGTGTGACCGCAAAATCCCTCTTAAGTTAAAAGGAAAATTCTATAAAACAGCAGTAAGACCGGCAATGCTATATAAAGCGGAATGCTGGCCAGCACATAGGCAACATGAGCATAAGATGGGAGTAGCAGAGATGAGGATGTTAAGGTGGATGTGTGGTTATACAAGGATGAATAAGATAAGAAATGAAGATATTCGACGAAAGGTAGGAGTAGTACCGGTAGCCGAGAAGATGAGAGAACATAGATTGAGGTGGTTTGGGCACGTGATGAGAAGACCCCTGGATGCTCTTGTAAGAGCAGAAGTTTGTTACCAAGAGCTCAACACAAAAAGAGGCAGAGGTAGGCCGAAACTGACTTGGGGGAAGGTAGTAAAACAAGATTTAATGGAGTGAGATATAGATTGGCGGACGGTATGTCTTAGAACGGAATGGAGAAAAGCTATAAGTATGGTGGAGGGTTAGACCCGTTGTTATTCCTATGTTCCAGATGGTCCCTTTTTTGTCCTTTTCCCCTTTATTTCCCCCACTTCTTCTTTTCCCTTTCTTTTTTACTTTTATTTATATATATATATATATATATTATTACTTTTTTTTTACAACCGTTTTGTATCTTTCATGTGGGTTCATCTACCATCGACTCCAATTAATTTGGGATAAAGGTGTTGTTGATGTTGATGTTTCATTCCACAAGTAATAATTTAAAAAAATTCGAGTCACCTATTTCTGTCTTTTGAAAGGTTTCTTATTAAATATGTGAACCTATCTTTTGAATTTACTTTTTCGTTGAATTCATTCCTTTGTCCTACTTATATTTTTCTTGTATTTAGTCACAAAACCAAAATCAGTTATTGTTAAACTAGAATCGGCTGCTGAAGAAGATAATAGGATGAAGGATCATTTTTCTGATGTGGAAGAGGGTATCAGATATTCGCACAACCAAACCAAGACTTCTACTGGAAGAGGTCGCAAGGTGAATACCACGAAGTCTACAAAAGCTGTAAGTCAAGGGTTCTTCCATTTTGAGAAACTTCGTTTTCCATCTTACTTGAAGTGTGTCAAAAATACAATTTATTAACGTATGCATGTGTGATGAAAATCTCAAGTGCACTGGTTATTAATTAATAAGTGATAAAGTGATATTTGGAGTATTATTTGAACGAGCATTGTGTGATTATCAAATTAAATGTAATTATTTAAGCTAATGAAAAAATTAATGCAACAAGCAAAAATTAAAAATAAAAGGATGAGGATGAGGATGAGGATGAGGATTTAACCTGACTACAATTCAATTTTGATAGAAGTCAACTATTCTCTTCTAATCCTCCATTATGTTCTTAAAGATGAATTATCCCATTTTAATTTAGGTCCCCTCTTTCGATTTCAAAAGAATGTGTTAGAATCAAAACAAATATAATTTTGGGTACTCCGTTAATTGAAACCTATCAAGCTCACTGTTCTGTCTTGAAGACAGAGATGTCTAGCCCAATGAACTAGTATGTTAATCTTGGATCTAGTGCTCTCTCTAAGGTATCTATGGAAGAGATACCCTTGAGTCAAGCAGATCACTGTGCACAATAAAACAATAACGGCTTTGCCAAAGGGGGTGTGTGTCTGCGCAAAGTGACAACATAACAGTAATAGAGAGAGCATAACGTACCTGTAGGGTTTACCTCTTATTTATAAGGTTTACCTGTGGGTAGTAGATTCTGAACCTTTAGTGCTTCTGATGATGGCCCAAGCCCATCTGTTATGTTGTCATATTAGGATTGGTATCCTTGATAGATATCTTTTCGTAATTATAAATTCCTTAAATCTTAGATTGCCTTTTGTTGGGCCTGTCAATCAATGGGCCTCTTATATGAGTCCATAACAGGTGCCCCTCAGCTAGGCTACTTGGACGTCCGAGTTGTCGGGGTGAATTTCCTTTTGCATTACCTTGAGTTTTTGTCGATAATGTCCGAGTTCTTGTGAACTCCTTACGCATATGTTTTGAGCTTCGAGTTTTTGAATTAGGGGGAAATAGTACATAGTACTTCATTGCCCCTTATCTTGTCGGGTTCAGCATACACCTGGTGAGATACTATTTATATTTCTTTTAACCAGGTTGCAGATGGGCTTGAGTTGTTGGGTTCCAACTGGCGAGTTTCCCCCAAGCCCGTCATTTTGCAAAGCGGCTTGGCATCATTGTGCCTGGATGTCCATTACATGGATCCTGGTTGTGGGTTTTTATTCTCCCATGCCGACTTTCCTGTCGGTAATCATTTGTTTTGACATGTGGCGCTCATTGCATCCATTAACGTGTTGCAACTGTTTTGTGTCGTTCTCGCATTTCGTGCGTATTTATTAAATGAGTCATTTCAGGCGTCTAATCATTATTTTTTGGGGTGTAATGACTGCAATGCCCCTGACTCTTGCAATTCGTAACCGTTGCGGTACCACTATTAGTATATAAATGTGCGTCCTCTTCCTTCTTTGTTTTTTTTACTTTAGTTGTTCTGCAGAAATTCCTCTTTGCAAAAATTTCTTAAGCGCTAACATCTGCAAGAGCATTTTCATATAATCTTGCAAGTTCATTTCCTTTATTTTGGTATTCTTGTTTGCCTTTGAATTTCTTTTGTTCTCTTCTTCAGTAGTTTGCATTTGGCTGTTTGCTTTCTGGACATTCATCGTTTCTATTTTGAATTTTTTGTTCTTCATATGTCATTCTGGTATATCGTTTGCTTATTGATTTTTCTTCTTCTTGCGTCAGTATTTTGTGTTTCTGGAGGGATGTATGTTCTCTAAACTTTTAGCATCCTCACCTGCATCGCCCTCCATTGTCGTTTCCCTCCTTGTTATTTTGAATTTGGTGTCGTTTCAATTTTTACCATAATGAGGGGAAGAAAGAGAAAGAATCTGAGTTGCTAAAGAAAGTCCCTCCTGGGGTTCGGTTTTGGTTTTGGGGGATCCTGAGAACTGAAGAAGAAGAACGTGAAGCCATGCTTCGCGATTACCGAGGTGGTAGATTCAAAAAGAGGTTCGGGTTGTCAAGTCCTGGTCTAGGTGAGAGCCGGGGTCGTGGTTCTTCCTTGTGAGGTAGGGGTCATCTTTATGCAAGTAGACAAGTTTACCAGTTTTTTCCCCAAATCGTTCTGAATCCTTCCAGTGTCTCTTCTACCGAAATCTCATCAGTCACTCAGGTTCTTCCAAAGTCCTCCCAGCCCCAGAAAGTCGGTCCATGCTATTCTTGCGTCTTTCTGAATTCTAAACTCATTGAGAAAGGATATGACTCTTTAGCCAAGTCTACTTTGGCTAGTTGTCGGCATAGAGATGTTCCGGGTCTTCCTCAGCTTCTGGTGAGGCAGATGATCTGATCACGATCTCAGACAAACCTACTTCTTCATCTTCTAGCGACTCTTCATCTTGTAGCCTTTTTGATTCAGGTATGCCCATTCTGTCCTTCTGATTAAGTTTTTCTCTTATTTTAGGTATTTATGGCATAATCTCCACCGAGATTGTAGAGGAGTCTCACTCTGTTGAGTCGGATTCTGAGTCTCCTCCTGCCGCCTTAATAGCCCAGTTTCCTTGGGTAACTTATGAAGTTTTAAACACTACGTCCGAGATGGGTGTGGATGATGTGTCTGGGCTCCTTGTTGGGAAACTGGAGAATTATGATATAGTTCCTCCGCACGAGGATGAGCCAGTTTGCTCTGGGAGGAACTCGGATGAGCCCTGTTTTTTCTTTTTCTACCGAGATCTGGTCACTCAACTCGGCATTAGGTTTCCATTGACCGAGTTCCAGATCTACATTTTGAATCATCTTCACATAGCTCCCATCCAACTTCACCCCAACGGTTGGGGTTTTGTTAAGGCCTTCGAGCGATTTTGTGCCTACTTTGCTTTACCTTGTTCCGTTTCTGTCTTCTTTTTCTTCTTCCAAGTTATCACGCCTCGAACTGGTCGCGAACTACCGGAACGGAAGGGTTGGGTCACCCTCCGGGGTATCGCTGGTCGTAAACTTTTTCATGTTTACTCTGAGTCGTTTAAGAACTTCAAAGAAAAGTTTTTAAAGGTTTTTGCACATCCCGATAAGGAAGCTTGGTTTCTCAATGCTTCTGACTCTAAAGATGTGGAAGGGAAATTTCCCTTGTATTGGTCATCTGATCACTATAACTTTGCTTCCTTGAGTTACTGTTTCAAGAAAACCGAGTTAAGTTTTGCTGATGTTGATGTCGTACTTGCCATGGGCGAATATATCAAGGCACGTGGCCATGCCAGTGTTGCATCCTTTATTTTCAAGTCTCAGGAAGAGCTTGATTCTGAAATAAGTATGACTTTGTTTGAGCATTTATACACATATTTACTCTATTCACTTTTATAACCCGGTTCCATTCTCTTTGTTTTGCAGTTCCAGGTATGGATGGTCAGCAGAATGAACAGCCTAGCTTCCTGGCTGCTCTTAGCCGGGTAAGAAGGACACGATTGTCGACTTGACAACCAAGAAAAGGAAGGCTCTTGACCCCAAGATCAAGAAGCCGCCTGCTGCTGCCGATAAGGCCAAGGGGACCCCAGCCGATAAGGGCAATCTCCTTTCCATCGGCGACTAGGCCAAGGGAACCCTTGTTGATAAGGGTGCCCCCACCTCTTCTCAAATTTTGACCAAAACTCCTGCTCGTCCCTCAACTGCTGGTCTCGCCAAGCATGCCTTATGGCAATCCGGGATCAGTGGTGATCTTCAGGATATTGTTTGCCTACCAGAGCAATTCTTTAATTCTACTCCCTTCACTAACTCTGAGGTGAGGGAGTTAGAAAGTATGGAGATCAACTGCATGAAGATGGCTTCGTTGGCGAGGCCTTTAGTTTCTTTAAAAAACAAATATATTTGTACCCTCAATGAGGTGACTGCATCCCGGGAGGAGAAAGCCAAAACTGTTGCCGAGTTGGTGAAAGTGAAAGAGGATTTCACCAAAGGATAACGACCAAACTGTTCTGGACATGGCCAAGGTGAAAGAGGACTTGGCAACCCTTCAGAAAGAGCATAATGACCTTCAGTATTTTCACGTTGCAATTGCCAGCATTTGAAGGACTTCAAAATAATTCATAAAGGCATTGAGGCAAAGTTGAAAGAAGCCGAAAATGATGCCCTGAATCAAATTAAGGTTCTCAACCCGGGCTCACAATTCAACACTAATGGTTTGCACCTGAAGGCCTATGTCAGCAACGGTCAAATCTTCCCTCCTCCTCCGGAGTCCCCTGCTGGTGATTCGGTGACCCAAGTCGAGAATGACCGAGTTGAGGAAGGCGAGGAGGTCACCAATCAGGCTGCTGCCGAGGTGGGTGACGTTCAAATGGGACAGGTGGAGACCCCTGCTGAATGAAGGGTCGGGATGCCGTTATATTTTGTAATCTTGTTTCTTTTTGGTTTTGTCATAAACATTGCCGGTATATTATCCGGTTTCTATTTCAATGTTTAACAATTTTTCATTTACTTCACGCTTTTGGATGACTTAGCTATTATACTGTCCTTTTGCATTTCATGCCCCCTTGATAACTTAGACGCATTTTTCTAAGTTTTTGAGGTTTTTCAGGTTGCGGAGTTGCCTGAAGTATTAGTATTTATCAATACCTCTAAGTACTTTAGCATTTTCTTGCTCTTGATAAGCAAATGTTGCATATTTGCTATCTAGGTTTGTAACTTAGACAACTTCCCAAACATTTCAAACTTTATTTAAGTTTTTCTCTATCTGAGATGGATTATATCTGTAACCCAAATATCCTCCATCCAAGATGGGTTATGTGCATAACTCGGATATACGTTTTTCGAGTTCTCATTTATTAACCTGGCCGGGATCAAAGCATATCATACAGATTCCTCTTTGTCATTTTCCATGACGCATGTTTAATTTAACTTAACGTTTCGTTAAGTCAGCATTGATAAAGGTGATCGTTGCTGCCTTTCATCATGACCCGGGTTTTGTGACCCGAATCTGTCCAAGGTAAAGGCAGTATTGTCCCATG